ATGGTTCACCCCCATCCAGGGTCCTCCCAGGTGCTGGAAGGTCACACCCCCACTTCAAGCCTCAAACCACAACAGCAACGTTTCTCCTGTTCTCCCAGGGGCTGCTCACTTGCTAGAGAAGGTGCTGTGGCCACACTGACTGGAGACACTACACTAGAGCCAAGCTCTTGTAATTTTCCAATTCTGTTCTTCCAGGATGTGTCCAGGGAACAGGACTGGGCCAGGTGTAGGTTTTGAGGGATGCTTTGGGGACAAAACAATCAGTATTAACCCGTTTTATACTGTTCCCTTGGTCATTTACTGGTCTCTGGCTGGTGTTGCTCTGGGCTGTCCCTCCGTTGCCCAGCTGGATGAGTTTCACTTCTGCTTTCACTGGGTTGAGCGGTTCCCCCAACTGCATATTTGGTTGGGGGAGTTACAACTTCAGCAGCAAACTGCTCTTCTCCTGTCTTTTGAGTTCCCTTTTTAACTTGTTTGACTTCTGAAACCCCCGAGGGAGGGGGGAATTTGTGTCTGGCTGTTGCTGCATCTGTGATGAAGGTCCAGCCCGGCTCATGCGGCACCTGGCTTTGCCCAGCCTGCATCTCTTTGCTGGAGCATGGCCAGAGAAGGGCAATGAAGCTGGGTAAGGGTCTAGAGCCCAAGTGTGGTGAGGAGCAGCTGAGGGAGCTGGGGGTGCTGAGTCTGGAGCCAAGGAGGCTCAGGGGAGACCTTCTGGCTCTGCACAGCTCCCTGACAGGAGGTTGGAGCCAAGTGGGGGTTGGGCCCTTCTCCCAAGGAACAAGCGGTAGGACGAGAGGAACTGGCCTCAAGTTGTCCCAGGGGAGGTTGAGGTTGGCCCTGAGGAACAATTTCTTCCCTGCAAGGTTTGTCCAGGGCTGTGCCAGGCTGCCCAGGGCAGTGGTGGAGTCCCCATCCCTGGAGGGGTTTCCAAGCCATGGAGATGTGGTGCTGAGGGACATGGGTCAGTGGGGACCTGGCAGTGCTGGGGAGCGGTTGGACTCAATGACCTGCAAGGTCTCTTCCCACCAAAGCAATTCTGAGATTCCGTGATCTTCTGGAAGCAGCCCAGGCTGTCGTGGTGGGAAGGTGAACAACAGTGTGCTCTGTACATTGCATCGTGGCTCTCCCTCTGCAACCAGTGGTGGTGGGTGGGAGGACAGCATGTGGGCGCTTTCTCACATGGAGACATCTGGTCTTTTCCTATCAACTCTTGCTGTGTGTAAATGGGGACAGACCTGCCCTCGTCACTCCTCAGGACAAAATGGGAAGACACAGATGAAGAAGGAGGAAGAAAAGCCCCAATCACAGCGTGGATGTTTGAGGGACCCTGTGAAGGCACAAGTTCCTCCTGCCTCCAGGGTACTTCCAACCTTCATGCCCTCAACTTTTGACAAAACCAGGCTCCACACAACTCCCCAAATCGTGTGGCACTGGCTGCCTCCCAAGGCCCTTCACCTGGCTCCTCCCTGAAGGCTGGTGCTGGGACGACCCCTTGGCATAAGGAAGGTGGTGCCCACCCCACCACCACCCAAGCCTGCAGCTCACTCCTCCTGGACACGGGGAGCAAAGAGCCACCTCCAGCAGCACCCAGCAGAGATGCTGGAGGCTCAGCAGATGCCGACACTGAGATGCCTTTCAGTGCTCAGCCCCCAGCAGGGTGGAGAGAGTGGGTTGGTCCCCGGCACATCTGTGGCTGTGGCTGTACCCAAGGTGTGTTGGGCATGAGGAGGTCCCACAGCCAAAGCGGAGGCAGGCAGGGTGTCCCATGTCTCTGGCTGTCACCAGGGAACTGCAGGGCTCCCTCGGTGCCCCCGAAGGCTTTGTGTGGCTGAAGGCAGGGGGTGACGGGGGGGTTTGCCTTACTGCTCCCCTGACTGTTTACAAGCAACGGCCTTCTAAAATGTGTGTGCCACATGCACAAAGCGGAGGGGCCTCGGCTCAATAATAAGTGATGTTGTGGTGAATGCTTTGGGTAGTGTGGGGTGGTTTCTGTGGGGCTGGGGCGGGGGGAGATGTTCCTGAGTGGGATGCAGGGATGAAGCTGTGCGCTGAAAACACCATCCTGGCTCTTTGGGGTGGAGGGTGCAGGGCCAGGGTGGCTTTCAGTGCTGCCCAAACAGCAGCTGGAGGGGATTCCCCTGCCAGAGGTGAGGCCACATCGCCTTCCTTGAGAGGTGGGCCCCTGTGAACCTCCTCAGGTTCAACCAGACCAAGTGCAAGATCCTGCCCCTGGGTCGAGGTAACCCCTGGTGTCAGCCCAGGCTGGGGGT